CCAAGCAGCGCGTCGCCGCTGTCGGGCCCTGCATGATGACTTCCGAGACCTGTCTATGCAGTCGTAGGAGTCGGCGTAGTGCAATCGCCTGGGTAAGACGGTGGAGGGCGCCATGACAAGCAGGCTTGGTCGTAGAGGCAGATCCCTCTCGCGCTCACTCAACCTCTCCACAGACACGTAGTCGTGCAACACGGCCAGCTTCAGCGCCAGCTCCGCACGAACATGTCAGTGCTTCCACTTGGCCGTCAAAGGGGGCTGGTCGTGATCACCAAGGACTGGGTCACCCAAGCTCGGCATGCGTTCATCCAGCTCACCTCGCAGAGCGTCCAGCTGGTGTTGGTGAGTTGGAAAGGCTTTGAAGGTGTAAAGCGCCGTGTGGCGCAGTCGGGGCTGGGGTCGGTGACACATCGGCTCCTGCAGCTTGTAGTAGACCATGCCGTGGAACGGTGCACCAGGAAGTTGCTGCACGTTCAGGCACTTCGGCAGGTGGGGTACAGGTGGCCCGTAGTAGAGACATCGCGTTGGAGTGGTACCTGCTGTGGTAGTTGGATGTGTCGGTGGACACATAAACCAGCCAGGTCCCATCATAGAGTTGTAGCGCGCCTTCCAGTTCAAATCGCCCAAGATATATAGTGGGCAACCCTGGACCGCGAGATACTGAGCAAACGTGAAAAAATCTCGCCCACCAAGCTGGGTCCTCGGCATTCGGATCGTAGACAGACAAGTAGATACAGTTGGACGTCTTGATGCCCACGACTCGATGGCCGAATGACTCATCGCGGATGATCGAGAGCTTCCCGACCGCATTCGGCTTCCACGCGATGGCACAACCACCTTGGCGAACAGCGGCCACACGCGTAGGAAGTGGTGGGGGCGAGCAGGCAACCGACCAGCCCCACCGCTTACAACATTCGAGTACCCATCGAGGTCGCTCCTCTCGCTGTCGGAGCTCCTGAAGGCACAGTAGAGAACAGTCATCAGCATGGCGAAGCGCCTCCTCCAGGCGCGCCTTGGTGAGGGATGTCAGATTCAGCGTGGCAGCGGTGTTGCTGATGTCCATTGGCTCATGCGGCTGTGTCTCCTGAGAATCACCTCCTCCCACCGGTGGATCATCCTCCAGCTTCCGTCGTTTGTGCTGTGCCTGGCTTGGCCAAGCGCAGCAGCCAGGCCAGGCTTGGCCTGGACTGGCTTGGCTTCTGAAATTTGAACTTTATCCAGCATGTGGCTGCCCGGCATGTGGCGACTGAGCCTGGGAAGCAGACGTCGGCAAAAGCCAGTCGCGACCGGGACTTGCGATCTTCACGCCAGAACTTTTTGTTGTGGCGGAGGGCCTGGGGACGCATCCCTTGCCCGCGCGTTCTAACCGATGTCCAGCACGTGGCAGCGGTGCCTGGCCCGGGCTCGAGGAGCACCCGAGGCCAGGACTTGCGTTCTGACAGGATAGTCACGAAGACGCGGCAGCAGCTGCTGCCGACGAGGACGCAGTCGATGAAGACGCAGACCCCGCAGCCGCTGGGCGCCGAAGAACTTCGCCAGATGCACGATGGGAGACCAATCTCCATGGCCTCAGCTTTGGCAGGGGAAGTCCAGCACGACGCAGAGCATTTCGCTTACGCATGCGGACACGACGTTCACTTCAAGGCCTCGCTCCTGAACCTTCGCCTTGTACACGGGGTCCTTCATCAGCTCGGCCTGTCGCAATCTGTACTTCTCTTTATGTTTGTCACGGGAGCGCTTCTGGATGCGATCAGCGATGGCTTTCCGCCTCTTCCTCCCCGTGGCGCCAAGGATCTTGTCGAGTAGCTGAACCCACGTCGTCAATCCCTTGGGGCGCAACCTGCAGGGGCCTGCACGGAGGCGAAAGATCGGCTTCTGACTTCCACAACGGGAGCACGCGTAGAGCGTCGCGAACTGGTTGGAGCGCCACGCGGTAGCACCAGCCTCCTCGGACGTCTGGCACAACTGGATCTGGAACTTGGTTTGCAACTGGTCAAGCCACGACTTGTACTTCTGCCAGGCAATGCGACGGGCTGCCCTGGCTGCAGCTCCCTGCGTCACTTCGCTGGCGCCACCATAGGAGCCAGGTGGGGCTCGGGAGGGCGGCGGCTCGCCCACGCAGTATCGCCAGTGGACACGTGCTTGCTGCAGACGGCGCGGGTGGTTGTCGGCTGTCGGCTTCCAACCACACCCAGGCGTTGGGCAACGTAAGTGCGCGCCAGGACCCTGAAGCTCAGGCTCCTCGTCAAGCTCTGGCGGAGGCTCCCCAGTTTCAGAGATGCCCAAAAAGCTGCGCGCTCTCTGGGTTGAAGTGGCCCCACTCTTCCAACCTCTGGGCGACTGTGGGATTCCGAGAAATGACTTGGCATCCGCTTCCTCCGTAGCTCGAGCGGCACTAGCAACATACTTCCCTCCACCACGAAGTTGACCACCCCCACCTGTGAAGATGTCGGGGTAAGGTAGAGCCTGCTCCCACCATGCAGTGTCCACCGTCACCGGTAGCGACGGCGTCGCCTGCAATTTGTAGTGCTTGTCCTGTAGCTCCAACCACACCGACGGACGTTTGCACGAGGCCGAGCGTGCCGTCGGGCCCGCGTAGAGCACCCAGCGGTCGTCCGTCGCGACATTGATGTCGACCTTGGCCGCCGCAACTGTCGCCTTCAAAGCCGCCGTGTTCGCCGAGCACCCAGCCTTCGCCATCTGCTCAGCCTGCTTCGCCGAGACGCCGTACTTATTCAAGTGTTTGTTTCACCTCCGCCGAGACGAGTAAACGCATCTTGGCCCGGACCTTCCCACCTGGCTGGCCATCGCCAGCAGCAGGGGGCCTGGGGTCGGCCGCAGCATCGCGAAGTGCTCGACCGATACATAGGAAGAAGCAATCACCACTGCCTCCACACTCCACATCTTTGAAATAATCCATCCAGGGTGGCTTCGCTGCTCTGAGGGCACGCTGCTGGGGGGGGTTCGCCACCCGACGATCCCAGCTGGCGGCCATCAACAGGTACCTCATGAGGAGGTTGAGCTCCATCTGCGGGTGCCGTGCTGGCTGTCGCGGGCTGGGTTGGCTCCATCTCCTCATCTGGCGTCGTTGTCGGGAGCCCTGCACGCGGCTGCACGGCCCCCCAGGAAGAGGCAGGCTTGGAGACAGGCGTCTTCTTCCTGCCCCCTGCGTTGTTGTAGGCCGACGAGACAGAGATCCCACTGGCAAACGTATACACTCGATCTGCATCAGAACGACCAGCAGCCAAATCAGCTCTGAAGAACCAACGACGGCGGCCAGCACGATGTACCTTACCGAAGTTGGTGAAACCTCTTTGCGTTGCCCACGACTCCAAATCTTCTGGTCCAACCCAATTGTCTGGAGTACAAAGAGCACACCATCTCGGAATAATGTCAGTGGCCAACGCCTGGTCCGTCAACACTCCCAAACTTGCGTCGTCTGACGGTCGGTAACACAACCGCCCAGAAACTGAAGTAGAACTGACTGTCACGCGCTCAAGGTAAGCCTCGTGAGTCTCGCCCTCTCGCTGCTTGAGCCACCTCGGTACCAGCTTTGAACCCTGAAGGTTCATGAACACACCTCGCGGCAAGGAGAACTGCATGAACTTCTCCAGGGAAGACTTCTTCAAATGATGAGGCAGGTCAACTCGCTCTCATAGTTGAGCGCTCCTTTGACCTTCAGCACCATCTTCTGAAGCCCATCGTTGAAAATGAGGGCTGCCAGCGCCGCAGGCCGCTGGGCCGCACGCGTGAACAAATCATCCGTTGCATAGTTCCTCGCCACCGTCAGTCGCACCTGCACGGTCTCGAGGGCGGTCACCGTCTGGACTGGAGTGTCATCGACGATGCCCTCTGGTAATCTCACACGTCGAGGCGGAGACGGGCCCAGCTAAATCAGGAGGCACCTCTGAGTCGCTGTACCCTTGGCCTGGCCCGTCTCCACCAGCACATCCACGAAGGAGGAGCCTTCCAAGACACGCTGCATACTGAAGATGATGATGGTGGCTGACCGCTCGGCACCTCCAAGCGCATCCAACCACCGTCACGTAGCAAGATACTCCTTCTCATTCTGGCATACGATGAGAGGCGGCTTCTCGTAGTTGCAGTCCTGCAGCCGTTTGGCGGACCAAACTGGGCAGTCCTGTCCCCACTGACTCTTGACGCCCTTGATATCCTTCTGCTGGTTCTGCTGCTGCTGCTGTTGCTGCTGCTGCTTGATGGAAGTCCCGCCTGCAGCACCCGCAGCGGCCGAAGAGGTACTGGGATAGCGGTTCAGCAACTGGAGTAGTCGCTCTCGAACCTGCGCCTCCGTTTGTCGGTAACCCGACACGTCAACCTTCTTTAGTAGTTCTCGAACGTCCTGCAGTAGTCGTGGTTCCTGGAAGACCTTTGACTGCTTCTGACGTCTGGTCTGAAAGCTCCCACCCACTCTCCCCGCGAGAGATTGGAGAGCCTCCTGCATCTTCTGCATCTCACTTGACAGGTCTCGGCGGCGCCCCTTCACCTTCGAACCCTGCAAGCCCCCTTTTTTTATCGCCACCTCCCACCAGCGGATCCTCCCAGGAGTCCTCACAGAAGGTAGACGAAGTCACAGTAACCGGTGAGATCTGCAAAATTGGTGACTCTTCGATGTCCCCGTCGAAAGAGTCAGTCACGAAGTTCTTCTTGCAGCACGCTGCTCGGAGAACTCTGCACAACATGATGAACATGATGCACAACAGCACGGCGTTCACCCAGATCTGCTTCGAGCAAGGGGCTCGACCCACGCAGCCCACGAGGGGGGTCTGGGTATTGTGCGTCAAGGTCCACCTGGTGCTGCTCCTCGTCCCGGATCCGTTTTCGACGGCCCGGGGCCCCGCAGACAGCCCCTGGAGGCCGGAAGAGGCCACAGAACGGTCCCGAGCCCGGCACCTCGGACCTCGCCCCCCCCCCCTCCTGCTCGCCGGGGGCCAGTGCTGGGCCCCCCGCCAGCTCCCAGGTGAGGGTGCAGGCGGGCTCCGGTCCTCCAGCTTGGACCGCGCCAGCGCCCGGTTCGACAGCAGGGTGGCCTCCTGCCTGGGCGCCAGGGCCGCGCCGCCGGCCTCGGGGACGGCGGGGGCGGAAATCGCTCCGCCGTGAAGGGCGCCGACTGGCCAGCCACACGCAGGAGCGACCGTGGGCAAGGGTGACCTTCCCAGGAGATGGTTGCGTTCTTGTTCGGCGATGACCCAGGTTATCCAGTAGGGGGGGGGGCCCGACATGCCCGCGTCTTGGGACAAAAGTCAGGGCGGGAGGCTTGGGCCGCCCAATGGCCCCATGAACGTCCAAAAACGATTCAGGATGAAACACGTTCCCTGGGGAAAAGATCGGGACTTCCGCGAATCGCGCATGGAAAAGAACAGGGCATCGCATGTTTTTTGGGGGGGGAGGTGCCCATCGCTAACCTAACTTTTTCGACTGGGTTAGCCCCGCACATGCCTGCGTGCACCAATCCTGCGTATCCCTTCGGACCTGCGCAACCCACAAGGCTAGATGATCCGGGGGGGAGGAGGGCGGGCCCGATAACCGGGCTTCTCGCAACACCGAATGAAAGTCTCCATACTCGCGTCGTGGAAAAATCACGAGGGAAAGCTTTTGGTAGCTCTTTGGCCTCTGGGGGCCCTCGGCGGGGCTCCTGGGGCCGTCAAGAAATTGCGTAGGATGGAAAACTGGTCCCGCAAAATGGGTCGAAACCTCTGGGGGTCGACGCTGTACGTTGTGAACGAATCGTGACGTCGGGGGTTTGGACTTGGTGCGCGGCCTTCAGGGGACGCGGGGGGGGGGAGGGCGGGGGGGAAATCCAAGCGCGCTCGCCCAGTGCTGCGGGGGGGGACCCCTTCCAGCCAGCACCGAAGGTCAATGTTGCGAATGGTCACTCTTACCCGTAGCCGAGCTGGGCCGTACACCGATCCTGCGCCTGGGATGGCCCTGGTCGGGATCGGTTGACGTCTACATTTCACACCGCCTGGCCTCATCCTAGAGCCAGCAGGTTCGGAATCAAAGGGACATGAGCTGCCAGACGGGGTAAGCGCGGGGACGTCTGCATAGGCGGCGCCTCTCAGCTATGCAGGAGCTCGTGCGCCAGTTGCAGGGCAAGAGGGCCAGGAATGGTACAAGAAAGCCCTAAGCGGCCCCCAAGAGAGGATCCATGAGTCTCGCACGAGGGCCAAAGTTGGAAACCTCTGGGGCATCAAAGGAGGATCACTTTTCCGAGAGCCTGACACTCTGTTATAATTCCCCTTTGGTGGATCGGTCTAGGTTCCGCCGTGTCTCAAAGCGCACGTAGATCGACTTCGTATTCAAAGCGCACCCGACTGCCGCGTGTAGCGCACGTCCGCACATGTCTGCACCATAGATATGGAAGCCTTCTATGAAACGGCCGGCGTGCGCGAGTCGACTGCTTCTGCAACGCAAGCGCTGCAGGTAGCGACGCAGGCTGAGGCATGAGAGCGAGATCCCATGCCATGGCCTGGCTCAAGGCCCCCCAAGCGGGCGGGCGCGCTCTCGAGCACGCCCACCCGCCTGGCCGCTGTGCTGGACCCTCGGATGCCTGCTCAGGCTGATCCCTCTCTTGGGCCCCGGCTCCATCGGTGTCCGCCCTCCCTGTCGTGATGATGACCTGTTAGCACCAGACGGCAGGCCGCTGCAACACGTGTCTCCGGGGGCCTACACGTGGACCGGCGCGCTCTCGAGCGCATCGGTCTGCATGCTTAGTGCTGGACTCTTGGAGGCATGCTTTGGCTGGTGACTATCTTCGTTCGCTGATGCCGTCACCTAACATTTGTGTTCCTGGATGGGTCCACGGGGAGACCCTCAAGCGCATTGACCCAAACGGCAACAGTTTGTCCGTAGTTTCTGTGCTCAGCGAACTGAAGTGAGTCATCTGCGCCCCAAACTCATCAAAGCGCCAGAAGGCCCCGATCTCAGTAACGAGCGCAAAACATGTTCCACTCACCAACATAACCATCATATTTCAAATAATGCGCAACCTTGCCTGCGATGCACGAGTTGGAGCTTCCTCAGGTCCCGTGCTCAATTTCCTGAGACTCAGTTCCCAAACCGGAGAATATCTTAAATGGCCCGAATCCCAAACTCACCATTCTTCCATGGATCCCCGCGCTCCCTGGGCGTCGTCCCGCACCACTTTTTATGGCCCGACAGGGCCCAAAGATGGCCCACGAGGCCTCTGAACGACAGCCAGGGCACGGTGGCGGGATGGTGGGCCAAAGGCCATAAGCCATTCGGCATCATCAATGATATCGTCACTGTTGTCCGTGCAGGCAGAGTAAGTATGAACACCATTGCAGCGTCATCATGATCCTCGCCATCTCGTCGTAAACATCGTCGAATCATCATCGACATCAGGGCGCCGTGACATGGTGCACATGCCGAGGCAAGCAGGGGCTGGTGTGCGCGGCTGCTGTGCATCGTGCTTGCCCGACGGCGAGACAATCCTTTGGAGGCAGTAGCGTATAACTGATGGCTGACAGGCTGCAGGCATAGTGCAGGCGGCTCTCGAGCAATCAAATACTCCTGAGTCCCACCTCTGCGTTTGCAACTCTAGGGTTGCCTGCAGAAACCGGTTGCAGGTTGTTCTGATTGTGGCGAACCGATGGTGCTGCACTGGGAGTGACGCTTGCGACCAGTACCTGCTGAATGACTACGCTTGAAGCTTAGGCCAAGCATGCGCTACAGGGCATCCTTGCTAGGTTACAGGTTACAGTGCCAACTCATCGCTCGGCATGGGCTGGCACGCCAGTTGGCCAAGCAGCTGCTGCGCTCAGTGCTGGTGAAGAGAGGCCTGACTGGTGCTGTAGAAACGCCTGTGAGGCGGCCCTGGACCCGTCGGAACCGTTCAGGGCCCTCCACGTGGCCTGCTCAAGCCAGGGTGCGTTTATCCTAGCCGGCCTGCTCCCCTGCCCCGCTCTCTCGCCGCTCCTCCCGATCCATTATCCTCCTCGTCCGCCTCCTCCCCCAGCACTCCCTGCCTCCTCACCCTCCACCCTGATCGTTCGTCTCCCGCTTCCTCTTCTCCACCTCCTCCCTCCACTCCCTCCTCACTGGCACTGGTCCACAACAGTCAAGCTCCACGCCGCGTCGCAGAATCACTCTGGGAGCCGCTGCCCTCCTGTAACCCACCCCTGTCTCCCCCTCCATGTGCCCTCTCCCCCAAACTTCTACGGCCTCTGCCCCCTCGATCCCCGCGTGCTCTGCCACTCGCCCTTCCCCCCCATATGACCCCCCCTCCGTCTGCACGCTCAGAATGGGGACGGTGCCGAACCGCAGACGCTGTCCAAGCCAGGCAGCGGTCGCTCTGTTGGGCAGGAGACCTTCGTGCCAAATGGACAACTTCTGCAGCGGCACCGACGACGACTCCTGCTCAACACGGGCAGGAACTGCTGTCGGTAGCTCTTCTCATCCTGGGTCGTTTCGTGACGGCCCCAGAGCCGGGAGACGGCCTCCAGTGCCCGAAAACACAGGAAACCCCGCCGTCGCGGTTTCTGTCTATCGGGAGCTCGATCCCGGGGGGCAACGGAGGGGAATGAAGAAACGTACATCTTTCTTGCGCCTTTTGGGCACACGGTGCCAGTTTCGGGGCCGTTTCGGGCCTTTGGGGCCACCTTCCTGCAATCAACGGTCTCTTTGCGTCTGTTGCCCACTGGCACACCGTCCGCCAGACTCTGGGGGATGGGGGGAGGGAGGGGAAGAGGATCAGGAGCCCTCCTCCCCTCTCCTTCCTCCCCCCTCCCTCCTTCTTCCTCTTCGAACCTCGATCCTCGAGGCTCGAGCCCTCCTTCCTCCTACCTCCTCCCTCCTCCCTCCTGCTGCTCCTCCTCCTCCTCCTCCTCCTCCTCCTCCTGATCGTCCTCCTCTTCTTCTTCCTCCTCCTCCTCCTTTTCCTCCTCCTGTTCGTCGTCGTCCTCCTCCTCCTCCTGCTCCTGCTCCTGCTCCTGCTCCTCCTCCTCCTCCTCCTCTTCCTCCTCCTCCTCCTCCTCATGCTCCTCCTCCTCTCCTCCTCCTTCTTCTCCTCCTCCTCCTCCTCCTCCTCCTCCACCTCCTTTCTCTCTCTCCTCCGTCCTCCGTCCTCCGTCCTCCACCCTCCCTCATCCCTCCTCCCTCCCTCCCTCTCCCATCCTCCCTCCTCCCTCCTCCCTCCTCTCTCCTCCCTCCTCCCTGCTCCTCCACAAGATAACAAGACGAATGCTGTACTCCTCTCTCCCCTGGTGGCGTCCCAGAAATGTCCAGGCCCCCTCCGCGTACTGGTTCTTTACACACAAGAATCACGGGAGTTGGGTTTTCGCTTGGGTCTTTGTTTCAGAATGCTGCTCTCGCTGAAGCGCTGGCTTCATTTTCGGGCTACCGCTCGTTCCGAATCGTGCTCCCGCTGCAGCGATGGCATCATTATTTCCAGCGCCATGCCACGGCCTGGTCTTCGGTCCTTCCAAATCGGCTCCAACAGAAAATGCCCCCCGAAAAAAGCATCGGAAGTGATTCCACATTCGGTGCCGATTCGTTGATTTTTGGGGCCGCAAAAGCCCCCCCCCACACACTCTGGGGCGTCGCCACGCCATGCTATGTAAGCTGACGCGTCCTCATTTCCGCGCTTCCGCACTTGGTTTTTTCAACATGCTGCTCTCGCTGAAGCGCTGGCCACATTTTCGGGGTACTGGTCGGTCCGAAACGTGCTCCCGCAGCAGCGCTGGCCTCAATTCCGCACTTCCGCTCGTTCCGACTCGCGCTCCCTCTGCAGCGTTGGCGTCATTATTTCCAGCGCCATGCCGCAATGCCACGGCATGGTTTTGGTCCTTCCAAATAAGCTTCAACATATAGAAAATGTCCCCCCCCAGAAAAAAAAACATCGGAAGTGATTCCACATTCGGAGCCGATTCGTTGTCTTTTTGAGTGTGGGTCTGGTGGTCGTTTCGGCGCCCTTCTTCAGCAAGGGGAAAGAAAAACGGAACCAGAACCGGAACTGGAACCGGAACCAAGACCATAACGGAAGAAGGCCGAGAGAAGACAAACCCAAACCGGAACCAAAACCGGAACCAGAACCAAAACCGGG